AACTGCTGACCTTAAGGTTCACAGCCCGATTCGTAACCACTACGCTACCAGAACTCCTTTGTTTCTTATTTAGCCTTTCTTAAATTCAAGAAAAGGCTGAATGAAGTCTTTTTTAAATTATTTATAAGCTGCACATACAACAAGTGAAGGTGATTGTGATGAAGAATTTGTTGCAAGTAGAATTTGGCTCAGTTGTTTCACAATGAGGCAAATTTACATAAACATAAAACAAATTTTGAGCCCAAATAACCTGCACTGTTCAAAGATGGTGGCGTCTTGCTCAAAGATGGTGGCCAATTACAATGCTCTGAAAGTGTGGGGCTTTTCACAGTTCTAATAATAATCCAATCTCACACATCATGCTCCTGAAAGGGCTCACTAACCTTCTTCTGAGTCTCCCATCTCAGGGCTTTGACCCACAATTTTTCCCATTCCAGCTATCATTAAGATTCACTCAAATGTAAAAATTCAGGTCAGTTACTATTTCGTTTTGGCCATGACAGAACCAATTTGAATCAGTTTGAGTTCTTTGTTAAAAGAGCAAGTAGAAGCTATCTTAACACTGGGACTATTTGCAGTGAAAAAATTTGATGAATATTTTTTTGTCTGATAAATGTTTACTGGCATATTTTAATAAACTATTCTTGAGATTAAATTTACTTCTTAAAAAAAACAACAAAAAAACCCACTTTTGTTTATAGAAGTATAATACAAATTAGTATTTTGTACTTAAGCATCATACCAACTGCTGGAAACTCTCTTTCCAAGGATTTGGATGCTCATATTCTTCTGGATTAATCTGATAGAATTTACCAGGTTCTGGATGCATCATAGGACGGGTATATTCAAATACTTCCATGTATAATCGTTTCCTAGGGTGGAAAGTAAATGAAAAGATTTCATCATAAAATGCCTTTTAGGTTAACAGTTTTAAATAAGTACTAATAATTCTTTGAAGTCTTCAAAAGCATAAAAATAGTTTGTTGCTAAGTGCCAACTCAAGTGACCCTGAATAGCATTTTTAAGGAGTAGCTGGTGGGTTTGAACTGCTGACCTTGTGGTTAATAATCCAGTGTGTATCCCACAGTGCCACACAGATTTACTAGACAGAAAATAGAAGAGATAAAGACAACTGTTGTAAAAATATAGAAGTTTAAATGTAAGAATGTAGTTTGACTAATACAATGCGACGACTTATCAGGGGAAAAGATGTCACCTTTACCATAATAGCCTTGTATAGTTTTTTTTTTTTTTAAGGTTTTTAGTGTGGACTGAGTTTAAGTTTTCAGGGTACATCATCGGTTTCACATTCAAACATTCATATACCTTGTTTCATTACATTGATTATAATCCCCTCCA